GATCCGCCACCCCGTCAGAGACATTGTGCAGTGGCTTTCGGGAGACGGGGTGTCCCTCAGACCACCCTCCAACATAGTGACAAGTGAAGTGCCGAACCTTCAATCGACAATGCACTGGGGCCCACTAGAACCCTTTTGGAGTCATGGCGGGAGCATTGGGCAAGTCCCTTCAGTGCCTGGTGCACCCTTGGCATTGCACGCTACCCCCCATGCCGGAAGCGCCACCAAACGGCAGTGAATCGTAGGAGGGGAAAGGGCACCGTGAGCAAACTCACCGCGCCAGAGCCCCCCAGCAGGTGGGTGCCCTGCCCCCCCGCCAACTGTACGTTGCACGGCGAAGGGGAGGTGGGCGGGGGAAGCGCGACATGGCAGCGTGCCATGCTATGGCGGCGAATCCAGCATCAGCAGTATGATCATGATGATGATCATCATCATAATCATCATCATCATCATCATCATCATCATCATCATCATCATCATCATCAGCAGCAGCATCATCATCATCGTCAGCATCAGCATCGGCATCAGCATCAGCAGCATCATCATCAGCAGCATCATCAGCATCACCATCGTCATCATCATCGTCGTCGTCAGCAGCAGCATCAGCAACAGCAGCACCAGCAGCAACAGCAGAAGCAGCAGCAGCAGCAGCAGAAGCATCATCATCACCGACAGCAGCAGCAGCAGCATCAGCATCAGTAGCAGCAGCATCATCATCATCAACAGCAGCAGCATCACCTCCTCCTCTTCCTCCTCTCCCTCCTCCTCCTCCTTCTCCTCCTCAACCTCCTATCCCTCGTTCTCCTCCTCCTCCTCCTCCACCTCCTCCTCCTCCTCCTCCTACTCCTCCTCCACATCTGGACGCCCAACTGCACCTGCGACTGACCTGCGTGGAACAGACCGCGACGGCGCCGCAGCAGGGCGGGACCTGAGCACCCAAGACTCGACTATACAATATGACCAGGGCTCGACGGGGCAGTGTTGAAAGATAGTCGTTTTCATTCCTAGCCATAAGGCGCATTGCGGAGGAAGATGGGGGGGGGACGGGGGGGCATAACGCAACGCCCCCCCCCTCCGCCGCCGTGCGGGTCCGGCACCAACGACTGTGGTACTGGATGTACCGGCAGTGCCCAGGGACGTACTGGGGGGAGAGCGTTACGGTGTTGGGAGCGGGGAGAGGGGTGGGGGAGGAAGAGCCAGAAGGCGCGTTATGGCCAAGAGAGTGTTCTGTTAAAAAAGGGGGGGGGGAACTGGAGAAGGGGCTGCACCTTGTACGCAGCTGGCTTCTGGCATTCCTGCATACGTTTATTCCAGGGCCGTTCAGCAAGAAGCAAAGCGAAATTCACACTGTCGTCCAGCCATCTTCGCTCAGATCTGCTCCAACGAGAAGGACCTTGTGCATCCCCTTAGAAGGTGGCGCTTGCGCAACAAGAGTAGGCCCCAATTGTCAAAAGCATCCAAAGAAACGTCTCCACATCCTCCTCCTCCTCCTCCTCCTCCCCATCCTCCTCCTCCTCCTCCTCCTCCTCCTCCTCCTCCTCCTCCTCCTCCTCCTCCTCCTCCTCCTCCTCCTCCTCCTCCTCCTCCTCACCTCTCGGGCGCACGCTAAAATGGATTATGGATCCGTCGATCTGGCGCGTGCGCGCCAGATGCACGGATCGAGGAAAACCGCTGAAACATAAGCGCCAATGCCGCTTGACTTGGTGACCAAGCGCGCCGACTCTGCAAGCAGACGGCACCCGTCACTAATCCACGCGCCTTGATGCATGCTTTCCCTTCCTCGACCCTCCTCGTTCTCACTCCCCTCCAATCCCTCCTCCATCATCCATCTCCTCTACCTCCTCCCCCTCCACAATTACTCAATATGAATACTTCTCTCCCTATTCCCCTGATGACGGAATGGGAGTAGCCGACTCCCCCCCGCGTACTGTTATTTTACACACAGGTTTTCCCGGAGTTGGGTTTTCGCCTGCATTTTTGTTCCAAAATGCTGCTCTCGCTGAGGCGCCGGCCTCATTTTCGGGCCCCGCTCGTTCCGAATCGTGCTCCCGCTGCAGCGTGGGTCTCATTTTCGGATCGGTGTTTTGCCTCCGTCGTTCAGGATAGCGTTCTCGCCCCAGCGCGGGCCTCTTTCTCGCGCGCCCATCCGCCCGCCACCACCGCACCGCGCCCCGCCCCGCCCACCGCCACTTCCACCCACCAACGCACGCACGCACGCACGCGCACGCGCACCGCCACCACCACCCCACTACCCCACCCACCACCACCACGCTACACCGCGTCACACCACATCACACGCGCGCGCACACAGACACACACGCACGCACGCACGCACGCACGCACGCACGCACGCACGCACGCACGCACACACACACACACACACACACACACACACACACACACACACACACACACGCACACACACACGCGCACACACACACACACACACACAACACACACACGCACGCACCACCGACACCACCACCACCAACCACCGCCATCACCACGCACGCACCTGGCCCACCACCAAACCACCACGCCACACGTCACACACAGCACACGCGCACACACGCACCACCACACACACACCACCACCACCACCACCACCACCACCACCACCACCACCACCACCACAACCACAACCACAACCACAACCATAACCACAACCACGCACTCACGCACGCACGCACGCGCACCACCACCCACTACGCACGCGCGCGCGGAGCCGCAGGTCCGCTACGACACGCGTCCGCGGATAGAGAAAATCAGCGCCATGGTCAGGGATGGGAGGGAGGGGTAGGACGTCAGATATGACGCGAGCGCACATAGCTTGTCCTCAACCCGCTCCTCCTCATCCTCCTCATCCTCAGCCTTCTCCTCCTGCTCCTCCTCCTCACCCTTCTCCTCCTCCTCCTCCTCTTGCTCCTCGGTTTCATCCCCAGTGCCACTGTTCCTCTTCTTACTCATCCTCATCAAACTCCTCCTCCTCCTCCTCCCCATCCTCCTCTTCCTCCTCGTCCTCCTCCTCCTCTTCCTCCTCCGCATCCTCATCCTCCTCCTCACGGTATCCTTCTTCCCCCTTCTCCTCCTCATCCTCCTCCTCTTCCTACTCGTCCTCATGTTCCTCCTCCTGCTCCTCCTCCTCATCCTCCTCAAACTCTCCCGCCACCTCCTCCTCCTCCTGAGTTTCTCCGTCATCCTCCTCCTCCTACTCCTCCTCCTCATAGTATCTTTCCTCCTCGTCCTCCTCGTTCTCCTCCTCCACCTTCTCCTCATGTTATCCTTCCTCCTCCTCCTCTTCCGCCTCCTCCTCGTCCCCCTCTTCTTGCTCGTAGTATGCTCTGCCTCAGTCTTAGTATCATTACTAATGTTAGTACTAGTCTTAGTATTATTTGGAGTAACCTCCCCCTTGCTATAAGTATTCATTGTCACAGTACTGTTATTAGCTCTCATACTCGTACCAATAATATCAGTATCAGTCTCCCTCGCGCTCTTCTTAGCCGCATGATTATCATTATTAAAAGTAGTAGACATATCGGCATCATCATTGAAAATGAGTAACACTATCTTTCTGAATGAACTTATTGTCTTACAAAACATTCGTATGACCCGTCTTGGTTTTGATAGCATTCTTCGTATTAGTAGTCGTAGTCTTATTCTTGTTGCTCTTATTAGTATTAGTACGGTTCGCATTATTTCCCAATCAGAGCTTGCCCCTGTAAGGGTCTTAGCGGATTCATATGCTTATGTGAAGTGTGCCGCCGATTTCGGCGGCGGACCCGGGTGCCCGGTGCCCGGGTGCTCAGCGCCCGGGTGCCCAAGGGCGCCCGGAGGTGCCCGGAGGTGCCCAGGGGTGCCTGGAGGTGCCTGGGGCAGCCTGCAGGTGCCCACGGGTGCCTGGGTGCCCGGGTGCCCGGGTGCTCTATCGCCCTGTAGCCCTATAGCCCCATAGCCCTATAGCCATATAGCCCTATAGTCCAGTAGCCCTATAGCCCTATAGCCCTGTAGCTCTATAGCCCAATAGCCCAATAGCCCAATAGCCCGATAGACCTATAGCCCTATAGCCCTATAGCCCTATAGCCCTATAACCCTATAGTCCTATAGCCCTATAGCTACCTATACGACCACCCTGCGGGTGATAAGGAGGTGAGGGGGGAGGGGGAACCAACGTCTCACTCAATCGATCTCGCTATCGATCTCACATTCGATCTCATTATCGATATCACTATCGATCTCGATCTCACAATCGATCTCACAATTGATCTCACATTCGGTCTCACATTCGGTCTCACTGTCTATCTCACTATCGATCTCACAATCGATCTCACAGTCGATCTCACATTCGGTCTCACATTCGGTCTCACTATCGATCTCACTATCGATCTCACAATCGATCTCACTATCGGTCTCACAATCGATCTCACAGTCGATCTCAATATCGATCTCACAATCGATCTCACATTAGGTCTCACATTCGGTCTCACCGTCGATCTCACTATCGATCTCACAATCGATCTCACAGTCGATCTCACATTCGGTCTCACATTCGGTCTCATTATCGATCTCACTATCGATCTCGCTATCGATCTCACTATCGATCTCACAATCGTTCTCACAATCGATCTCACAATCGATCTCACATTCGGTCTCACATTCGGTCTCACTGTCGATCTCACTAACGATCTCATAATCGATCTCACAGTCGATCTCACATTCGGTCTCACATTCGGTCTCACTATCGATCGATCTCACTATCGATCTCACAATCGATCTCACTATCGATCTCACAATCGATCTCACATTCGGTCTCACTATCGATATCCCAATCGATCTCACAATCGACGTCATCATCATCATCATCATCATCATCATCATCAACAACACCAACATCATCATCATCGCCATCATCAACATCATAATCATCATCATCATCATCATCACCATCATCATCATCATCAGCATCATCATCATCATCATCATCATCATCATCATCATCATCATCATCATCATCATCATCAACATCATGATCGGGACACCGACGGGACACCGACGGGACACCGGCGGGACACCGGCGGGACACCGCGCGCCACCGGCCGCCCGGTGAAGAATCATTTGGTCCGGCCGCGCCTCAGCCACAGAGGACACCACCGGGACACCGGCGGGACACCGCGCGCCACCGGCCGCCCGGTGGAGAATCATTTGGTCCGGCCGCGCCTCAGCCACAGGAGACTTTCCTCTCGCCCGCCCACGCAGCTTCGCCTCGCCCGCACGCACGGCACGCACGAACACGAAACCGAAATCGATTTCCCGGTAGGGGGGCTCTCCGTTCCACTTCGATCTCACCCCCTCACCTCCGATATAGCCCTATAGCCCAATAGCCCAATAGCCAATCATCATCGACATCATCAGCGCCACCATCATTATCATCACATTAATCAGCAGCATCATCATAATCCTCTTCGTTCTCCTCCTTTTACGTTTCGTCATCCTCCTCTCCCTCCTCGTCCTCCTCCTCAAACTCCTCCTATTTCCTGCCTCCTCCTCACCTCCTTCTTCTCAATATTATTTGAATTAGTATTCATCTTATTACTTTGTTATTATTATTTGTATTATTCGTGTTCCTCTTCTTCCTTCTCCTCCTCCTCCTCCTCCTCGTCCTCCTCCTACTACTCCTCCTCTTCCGCCTCCTATCTTCCTCCTCCTAGGTTCCTCCTCCTCCTCCTCATCCTCCTTTCCTTCTCCTAACAAGTTTTTCCCCCGTGTCGCACCCCCAGGCCAGTTTTTAGGGCAGGTCGGGCGTTTCGCCTGAGACTTCCTCTAGAACTCAAACAAATCATTGCAACAGCTTCAAAAATGGAGGGCAGGTCGTTTTCGAAATGTGGCTCTCGCCCAAGCGCCGCGCACATTCGTCTTAAAAATTGCAAGAGCTTCACGGACTGGGGGCTGTCATTCTTCAAAATATGGCTTTCGCCTTAGCGCCGCGCACATTAAATCAAAAAGTGCAAGAGCTTCACGGATTGAGGGAGAGTCGTTATCAACATGTGGCTCTCGCCTTAGCGCCGCGCGCATTCGTCTTACAAAACTACAAGGGGTTCACGGATGGGGGGCGGTTCTTTTTCCAAATTTGGCTCTCGCCTTGGCGCCGCGCACGCTCGTCGTTAAAATCTGCCAGCGTTTCACGGATTCCCATGATCAACGTACCAGAAATGATTCTTGGAAAGGTTCAGGCTTATGGGGGCGCACAAATTATCTTGATTCGCGGTGTTCAAGTCCCGGGAATGGCCTTCTGGCACGATTCAAGATCGTCAAAACGCAACAATCAAGTTGATCCGTGGCGTTGAAATGCCGGGAGCAATACGTTGGCATGCTTCAGGGTCTTCAAACAGTTATCTTCCAACGAGGCAGTTCCCTCAGTGGCCTATGAAGAGGGAGCTTGGAGGAAAGCTATATTCCAACATCGCTGATGCCCCTTGCGTTTACACTGGTCCTCCTCCTCCGCCTCTTCCTCTTCCTCCTCGTCCTCATTCTCCTCCTCCTCGTCCTCTTCGTCCTTCTCCTCCTCCTCCTCCAGTTCCTCCTCCTCTTCCTCCTCCTCCATTCCCTCCTCAATTTCCTCCTCCTCATGTTCTTGTTCCTCCTCCTCCTTCTCGTCTTATTTGTCTGAGTATGAATCGGATGACCGTATCACGATTATTAGTAGCATTAGCAGTTAAAATAGTATGACTCATAGTCGTAGGATTATTCTTAGTCGCTGTTATTAGAATCAATGTTATTCGAAGAATTCATATGGCTTTTAACATTGTTACTATTATTGTTCGCATTTGTCTTCAATAGTATGCATGTTCTTGTTATGAGAAATAGTAGCCTGATCGTTGGTTTTAGTATTACGCCTAAAAACATTATTGTGAATATTATTCTAAATATGGAGATTCGTATCATCATTCGTCTTCGTTCTCGTGTTCATATTTTTCGTATGTAATATCATTATTAGCGCTATTAATAAATTTGTTGTTATTCGTCTTCGTGATACTATTAGTACGCTTAGTCCACCTATTATCTGTATTCGCATTAGTAGTCTCATTATCATTACTCGTACTAGTATGCGAATTATTCTCCTCATTTCTGATTCATACTATTATCATAGTTGTTCGTCTTATTCGTCTTATTCCTCCTCCTCTTCCTCCTCCTCTTCTTCCGATTTCTCCTCCTCCTCCACCACCTCTTCCTCCTCCTCCCCCTCCACCTCATCCCTCTCAACCTCCTCCTCTTCCTCCTTCTCCTCGTCCTCCTCCTCCTTTTCGTCCTCCTTCGCCTCCTCCTCCTCCCACCAACACGTCCAACAAAACGCCTCTTTTACCTCCCCAAGGCCCTTCCCCCCCCCCGGCCCACTCCAACCCGAAGGCGTCGGGCGGTGAGGCGGGGCGTGCGGGCCATGCGCGCAAACTCTACCGCGAGTCGGCCGACCATTTTGCGCGTCTCCAGCACCATCTCCTCGCTCGCCTCTGGGGACGGTCCGCCGGTGCCCGAGGAGGAAGGCGGGGATGGTGGAGCGTAGCGAGGAGAGGGTGGACGGTGGAGAAAATGAGGGGGTGAAGGATGAGGAGGAGGAGGAGGAGGAGGAGGAGGAGGAGTGAGGAGGAAGAGGAGGGGGAAGAGGGGGAGGAGAAGGAGGATGAAAAAAGGGAAGAGGGTGAGTGAACTGTGAAGCAAAAAAGACACGGAGAGGGACGGCACGAGAACCGAGGAACGAAGATGAGGGTGGAGGGCAGAGAAAAGCGGAAGACACGGAGGACGGAGGGTGAGGGCGGAAGGGCACGGTGGATGGATAATGAGGAGCGGCGGCGCCGCCATACGTCGGCGCCCAATGAAGCCGTAGGTGGGCCTCCCGTTGGGCCTGGGCCGAAATTAGAGCGACCGCGACACGCGTCGTCGCCCCCTGACTCGCAGGTGGAATTCACCGTGGCGACGAAGCGCGCGGGGGGTGCGCCCACCAGCGCAGCCAGCAGCACCTGCACCTTGCGCAGCAGCGTCGGCACAGTTGGCACCACCGGCGCGACCATCAGAATCAGGACCACCACGACGGGGAGCACGGCGTCTCCAAGGCTGGCAGAACTCCTCCGTTTCCTCCCCCCCGCCTCGCGTCCCCCCTCGCCTTTTTGCGAGGGCATCAGCCGCACCCGCACGTGGTCGCGAAGGCGCGAAGGCCCAAAAATGCGCGAAGGCGCGCCGAGAACGGGCCGGTGCCGCAATACGTCGACGCCCGCTACAGGCGCTTTCTTATCCCAGCTTTAGATTTACAAATCCTTGGTGCAGATAATTCAAGGGTCCTCGCGATCGACGACGGGTCTCGGCCAACGCAGGGGCTTTGCCGGAGCAGCTCTCAAATTTGGGATTCAACGTCCACCGTACGCGAGCCCCTAGAACTCACTCACGAGTCCCAAGAGTCCTCGCTTGCCCGGCTGATCTCCAAGGCGCACGCGCGCGCCGCCGCCACCATGCGCAGGAGGGAGACAAGGGTCCGCTTCGCCTGGTCAAACGAAGGCACCAGCCTTGCGAACAAGGAAGGCGCAGCGGCGGCAAGGTGCAAGACGCTTGAGCCGGAGTTCACGGCAACGGACCGACACGGATCATGGCCACGATCGGGGGCGATGACAATGAAAGTGCGACGAATACGGTTCTCATACGTGGGCGCCGACTGAGACCGTAGGTGGAGTTCCCTGCAGGCATGAGGCGGGCGTTGAGAGCGCCGAAATGAAGCGCGGGATTGCCATTCATGGACGACCACTGTGACCGCATGCGGGGCCCCTCAGGACAAGAAGCGTGCGAGAGCCGTGTCAACATGGGCGCGATGCTGACATACGTCGGCGCCCACTGGGACAACAAATGGAATTCCCTACAGCTAGGATGATTCAAGCATCTCTACACTGATGCGACATCAGTCCTGGACGGAAAACCACCCCAACGTTGTTTACTCGGCGATTCCCAGTTTTAGCAGTTCCTGTCAGCATTCATTCACTTTATTCATGTCGATCATTTCTTCCTTTTTAGTCATGCGATTCGTTTTTTACATCTAATACTTTGTTCGTTCAATGATTTGGCACATCTTCAATTACAGGATTAATACTGAAAAGAATAGATGCACAAACAATTGCCTCACTCAGTCTTAAGTGTCGCGTGGCGGGGGGGCTTCGCTTCCAGCCCGCAAAGCCGCTGCGCGAAACCGGCAGCGGCGAGCGAGCCTAGATCTAGCTTTGCGCGACTTCCATGTAACGGCGTCACCCGGGGGGGGAGTCGTGGGGCGTCGGGGCGGGACGGGGCGCGTCGGGGCGGTCTGCGATGCCATCGCCATAGTACGCGCGCGACAACCACGGCGTGCGTGCGAACATCCCAGCTGAATGCGATTTCACCACGCGCGCCAAACCTGGGAGCACCAACGGGGCGCTTGCGAGCACCGCAGCGGCCTGCGGGCGACCACGACGCGCATCATCACTGCGAAAAACGGCGACGACGACGATGATCGACAACGACAACACGACGACGACCACGACGACACGGACGACGAGGAGGAGGAGGAGGAGGAGGAGGAGGAGGAGGAGGACGACGACGACGGCGACGATGACGACGACGAAGGGGAGGGGGACGACGACGACGACGACGACGACGACGACGACGCGCACCACATCGCCTGCGTGCACCACAACGCAGGACTGCTCCAGTGCCTGCTCATCGTCGTCGTCGTCGTCAGGGGCCCAGGGGGCTCCCCAGAACCACTGATGGAATCCGAGAAGGGCGTTCGACATCAATCGGTTTTAACCTGGTACCCTTATCGATGCGTTGCGGCGGCGACGACGACGACAACGAGGACGAAGATGGCGGCGCTGAGCCACTGGTGGCAGCGGCGGCAACGACAACGACGACGAACGACGACGAACGACGACGACGACGACGACGACGACGACGACGACGACGACGACGACGACGACGACGACGACGACGACGGCGAACGACGAGGACGACGACAGGGGCGGCGACGGCCGCGGCGGCGACCGGCGAAGGGGCGCTGGTGGCGGCGGCGACGATCCCCCAGAGACACAGGCGGCCCAACCGCCCGGCCGAAATCGGACCCTTGCGCTGCGCTCAGCCGCGGCAACGGGGAGGGCCCGCGAAAGCCATGAAACTGCAGATGTCTCAGCAGGCCCCATTTTTCCGACCAGCGCACGCGGGGGGCAATGCAATTCCCACCGCCTTCCGAATAGTTATCAGGGCACCTCAGCTCTGAGTAGTCCTCTTCCCCCTCCTCAAAAATCGCCGTCATCATGAACGGCGCAATATCGCCCCCACGCCCGCCTGACTAACGCGCGCCGCTTCGGCCACTAACACCACAGCACGCGTGCAAGAACCGAAACATGCCTTTTCGGCACCGCGCCACGCCTGCGACAACGGCGCCGCGAACACCGAGGCACGCTTGCTATACCTTTGAGCACGGCGCCGCACCTGCGGGGCGGGGGCGACCCCCAGCATGTCGGGGGGGGACCCAGGCGACCCTCCCGGTCATGATGGAAAGGACCCAACCATATGCAGCTGCGAATACCGCGAAGGAGATGAAACGAAGGACAGGGGCACGCAAACTCCGAGTAGCCGCGTAGCTCTCATTGGCAGCGCGCCGAAGGAAGAACGAGGCGCGGGGCAGGGCGGGCAGGGGCGCGGAAAAGAGGGGGGGAGGGGGGCGGACCAGGAGGGCGGGCACTCAGATGCTTCCCTTTCTGTGTGTTCGCGCCCTGGTGGCCGCGGCCCTGGGCAAAGCGCAACGCTGAGCCCCCGCGACGCGCGTCGGTTGCCCCGCAGGGATCCGGGCGGCGCGCACGGGTCACTCGCTGCGCGGAGGCAAAGCAAGCGGACTGGCTGGCCGACACCGGGCCAGGCACTGGCCCCCTGGGCAGAGCGTCGCAGGGCAGAGCGTCGCCGGAAAGGGCACACCCCTCCCCGAAGAGGAAGAGGGGGATTGGAACGAAGGGGGGAAGCATCTCGCGCCCTCGAGGACTGGTGGAATTTGGCTGGAACCCGACCGTGGGGAAGAGGAGGCCCCCAGGAAACTCGAAGTTCGGATCCGAATTCAGGATGTTTCTCGCCGCTCGTCCTTCGCATAGGCCTCTTCCCGTCGCGTTTTCTCGCAACGTCGGAAATCCGGGCGGGGCAATACCCTCAGGCCAGTGGACCTTTCGCAAAGGCCCTTGGACCTCTCGTAAGGGCTGCGTGAGGCCTCCCAAGTCGCGTGCGAGCACGCCCGCTGGGTCCGTCGGTAGCCGCCCCGCTTCCCCGATGGAACCACGAAACGTGCGAGAGTTGTGCCGAAATGAATGTGGCGGATGCGTGTGACCACCCGCACTGGGAGCTTCGGTGGAGTTCCCTATGGGGCCACGGAGCTTGTGAGGGGTGTCCCGAAAAAGATGGCGGGCACGCATGTGGCCACCCCAACTGGGGCAATAGGTGGAGCTCCCTAAAGAGCCACGAATCGTGCGAAAGGTGTCCTGGAATGAGCGGCTGGGACGCGGGCGGGAAACGCCACTGAAACCTTCAGTGGGAATCCGGTTGGGGCCACGAAGCGTCCATTAGGGGGCTGCGAAACGCGTGAAGCGTGTGCCGAAACGAGCGGTTGGGACGCATGCGGGCGGCGCCACTGGGGCCTTTGGTGGTGCTCCCTATGGGGTCACGAAACGCGTGAGGCGTGTGCCGACGTAAACGGCTGGGACCCATGCGGGCGGCGCCATTGGGGCCTTCGGTGGAGCTCCCTATGGGGCCACGAAACATGTAAGAGGCGTGCCGCTATGAACGGCTAGGACACATGCGGGCGGCGCAAATGGGGCCTTCGGTGGAACTCCCTATGCTATGGGGCAGCGAAACGTGTGAAATGTGTGCCGACAGGTGCGGCTGGGGCGCATACGGGCGGCGCCATTGGGGCCGTCGGTGGAGCTCCCTGAGGGGCAGCGAAACGTGTGAGCGGTGTGCCGACATTCACGCCGTGGCACCCACGCGGGCTGCGCCACTGGGGGCACTGGGTGGGGGGGACGCATGCGGGCGGTAACACTGGGACCTTCGGAAGGGCTACCCGTGGGGCCACGAAACGCTGCACTGGGTGGGGGGGACGCACTTTTTCGGTACCACTGGGACCTTCGGTGGAGCTCCCTGCGGGGCACCGAAACGCTGTACTGGGTGGGGAGAGACGCATGCGGGCGGTAGCACTGGGGCCGTCGGTGGAGCTCCCTACGGGGCCACGAAACGGTGTACTGGGTGGGGGGGACGCACGCGGGCAGTAGCACTGGGGCCGTCGGTGGAGCTCACTATGGGGCCACGAAACGCTACACTGGGTGGGGGAGACGCATGCGGGCGGTAGCACCGGGACCTTCGGTGGAGCTCCCTGCCGGGCCACGAATCGTGTGAGGAGTGTGCTGAAACAGGCGATGACGATGATGGTAATGATGATGATGATGATGATGATGCTG